CCTCTGTCCCTTTGGCAGCGCCTGCCCCGTCACCAGGACAGAGGAGATGACGCTGCTGGGGCAGCCCCTCAGCACCTGGGGGTACCCCAGGAAGGGGTCCAGCCCACCGGGCACAAGAGCCCACTAGCACAGTGCGCACGAGGACACAGGGCTGGGACTGACAAACCACTGTGCCCACCCATCTCCAGGCACCCAGCAGGACCGAGGGGTGCCCACAGAGAGCCGGGGTGTGGGTGCCTGCCGGGGGCAGCACCAGGCACTGGCATCCAGCAGTGGCCAGGGCTGGGAGGGTGCCCAGCTCCCATGCCTTTCATCATCACTTCCCTGGGTGAGTCAACACCACACGCTTAATGATTGACAAGGGAAAAATCTTCCCCCTGGGGTCAGGTCCATGATCTTCCAAAAAAGCAGGAGACATTCTCCTCCCCACAGCCTCCAGGCTGGAGGTGGCCAGCATGCAGCCAATTGGGGGTGAGGGGCAGGAGAGGAGCTCTGCAGCTTCTCACTCTGCCAGGATGGGGGAGAAACTTTGGGGCTGGCAGGTAGGGGAGGGATGGGGGCTGGCAGCACCCCACCCCACAGCAAACACCCACAGCAGGGAAGAAGTGCTGAAACATCCCCATGGAGCTTGGGCCAACAAGAACAGATGGGGCTGAATGCCAAGCGAGATGGGAGAGCCTGGCAAAAGCCATGAGCTGAGGATGCAGAGGCAGTACCCAGCTGGCAGGTGGCAGTGCCACAGAGCACTGGGGACAAGGATTACAGCTGCCAGCGCATGCCTCGCTGCTCAGAGAAGCGGAACTTTGCTCCAGCCTTGCAAACACAGGGCCTCATGCCCGGGAACAGGTAGGTTTGCCTGCAGACACCTTCCCAAAATAGCCCTGGCAGCCAAATAAATGCCTTGGGCACTGTGACAGGCAGCCCAGGGCAACCAAGCCCATTGCCCCACCGTGGTCCCCCAGGGATGTGGGGCATCTCTTGTCACCAGCACCACCAAGGCAGCTGCCTGCAGCCGCATGTGGTCCCCCCTGCCCCAGAGAAGATCCGTGCTCTGGGGGAGCCTCTTCTCCCAGTTCCTGCTTAAACCAGTCAGGATTTACCCGCTGCATGCAGCAGGAACAGCACCCACTCTTTTCAGTGCAAGCACAAGGGCGGCTGCACGGTGACAAAGTCTATGCCAGCCTGGCCTGGAGGAGAGGGTGGCACCCACTGCACCCCAGGGACAGAGCAAGAACAGGTCAAGATGGTCTTTAGCAAAATCCATCCATTTCTTTATTTACACAGTCAACAATAAATAGAGAAAAGCCAGGCGGCAGGGGTGCTGGGAGAAGGACTGACCACTCCGGGAATGGGGACAGTCCGGGAATCCAGCAGAGCCCGAGCCCCGTGGGACAGCAAGGGTGCGAGAAGGCAGAGGGACACCACAACGGGGGTCTGACCCCTGGGATAGGGCAAGACCCGAGCCCTGCTAGAGGGCAAACCAAGGAGGTGAAGGACAGAGGTGGCAGAGGAAGCAGCAGGCAGTGGCCCCCGGCACTGGGAGCAGAGCTGGCAGCTCAGGTCCCTCCAGTTTTCACAGCCCCCCCAGAACAGAACTGCAGGGGAGGAGAGGGGCGTCCCCCCTCCCCCAAGCCCAATTCCCAGCCCAGTGAGATGCTGCTGCAGCTGGGATTAGACGGGATGGGGTGCATGTGAGCTGGGAAGGAGTCCCATGGGCAGGGCTGCGCCAGATGCTGATGGCACCAGCTTGGTGCCAAGCACAGGGACACCTGGACCACTTGCCCTCCCTGCCCTGGCTCCACCAGGAGACCCCCAGCTACCTCCTAAGAGCTTTGCGCTCCAGTCCAGGGACCCAGCTCTTCCCTGGGAGCATCAGGGCAAGTCCCCCCCGCCCCCCAAAAGCAGGCAGCAGCTGTGGGGCTGCAGGAAGGACAGATGCCATGGGGCAACTGCCCCAGCACAGGCTCCTGCCTTTAAAAACCTACAATTTACATAAAACTGCCATTGTAAAACCTTCCCGCAGAGCAGTGCCGTGCGAGGAGGGGGGGGATGAACCCACCCCAGGCAGAGCAAGACAAACCCTGAAGTCCAGGTCCAGCAGGGACAGGCAGAGCCTGGGGGTGACATGCCAGGACAGCGGGCATTACCGGCAGGTGCAGGACTCTGCAATCATGTTCTCATACTCTTTGTAGAGGATGCCGCCGTCACGCTCGATCATGAGGACGCTGATGGGGCTGTAGCGGTAGGGGACGCAGGAGGGCCGGGGCACGTTGGCATCAACCAGCTGATGGACGAAACTCTGCACCACGGCGTGGTTGGGCGCATGGTAGTCATAGCGGAGCAGGTGGGGACAGGCGCCCTTGCAGTAGCGCGGGTTGTATCGGTGGGGAGCGATGATCCAGTGGTCCCAACCCAGCTGGGCGAAGCTGACTGGGAAGGGGCGCAGGGAGCAGTCGCTTTTCTCCCCTCCCTGCTCCCGCAGATAGCCAGGGAGGTCGTGGGCCAGCATCCCTGCATCACGCCGGTGCCGGCGGGGTTCTGCTGCCAGAGGTGCCAGCCCAGCCTGGGTGTCATTGAGGTAGAGGAGGAGGAAGGGGTGGCTGGGGGCCACTGGGGCATCGCGGCCCCCTGCCCGGCCAGCACGCACACAGACGTGTCGGATCACCAGGCTCCCTGCACTGCTGTTCCCTGACACCACGTAAGAGGTGACATCCACTTCGGCCCAGCCGTGGCGGGGGTGGGCGGCAGGGCTGAGCAGCGTCCGGCGTGACTCGCTGGTGGCCACCAGCTCCAGGGCGCAGAGGAGGCGGCCACGGGCCAGTGGCAGGCTGGGCAGGTAGACCACGGTGGCTCGGAGGAGGTGCTCAGCCTTGGGCTGACCCTCCAGGCGGTAGGTGAGGGGCTGCATGTACCAACGACCTGCAGAGAAGCAGTGGTCAGTGCCCCCTGGTACGGCACAGTGGGCATCACACCAGCACAGCCTTTTGCCAGGGTGCTGCCACAGCCCCACACGGTGCAGTGGAGCCCGTGGCATCACCACCCTCAAAGCCCATAACAGCCAGGTGCTGGTGGGGTGAAGGGCAAAGAGCTGCTGGGACAATTCCCATCCCCTGCACCAACACCACTGGCCTAGCACAGCATCGGGCAAGACGAAAAGGGAAGAGGGGCACATAGGGCCATCAGTGCCCTTGCCCACCTTATCCCTGTGGCCAGGAGAGCCTGGACCCCCTGCCAAGAGGGACCCTACGGCCAAGGGCAGCCCTGCAGGGCACAGGACATGCCAGCCCTGGCCAGGACACTGTAAAGAAGGGGAAGGAGGCAGGCAGCCCCCTCCCAGGGCTCCAGCCCTCCCCGCCAGCTCCACTAAGCCCCTGTACTGCCCTTGGTGCCCCCCTGCTCCTTACCTGCCCAGGGCTGACCCCCGTGGGAACTGGCCCGGACCAGGCGGATGGTGTTGGTGCCCAGGCTGTGGCCGCGGCGGGGTCGCCCTTCCCGGTCGGCTGCATGCCGGTACAGGTTCAGCATGAATCGCAGGGGCTGCCTGCTCGCTGGTCCCGCTGGCCAGCCCCGGCTGCCGGGTGCCTGCAGTTGCAGGGCCTGCAGGAGGGGCAGGGGGGGGACGGCAGGCAGCATGGACTGGTTTGCAGCCCGGGAAAGGGGCACTGCAAGGACGAGGAGGAGGCTGAGGCTTGTGAAGGGATGGAGCAGAGCCATGATGGGGGGTGGGGTGGGCGAGTGGGGTGAGGTGGGGCTGGCCGGCAGCGGGGTTAGGGGGAGCCTCTGGGCATGCTTCTCTCCCCGTGCAGAGGCAAAGCTGGTCCCAGGCACCAGCAAAAGGAGACCCCAGGATGCTGCCAGCTGCTATCAAGCCAGGACAACCATGCCGGCTGCTTCAGCTTGGCATGGGAACAGAAAGGTGAAAGGCAGGGGGGGGGACACACCTCTGTACGCAAAAAAGGGTGCAAATTCCAGACTAAAACCTGCAGCAAGGTCAAAAC